GCGATGGAGGAGTATGGAGGGACATGGTGGGGACCCCTGTTGTGGGGGTGATATGACTTGGTAGCTGCGTGCCTTGCGTTAAATTTCGGTTTAACTGAGGCGTACTGTTTCCCATGCCCCGTACCGAGAAGCCGAGTGCACCTGCAGAAAAACAGAAACACAGGACGAAAGCACACGCTGTCAGACAAGCCACAGAATATTCTTCTGCTTTCTGTCCAAATACTATTCATAATGTCACACATTCAACCTTTGACTAACTCTAGTTCCTCTGACAATCTACAAAGGGTTTTTTTTGTTTGTATTTTTACCGTTCTAAGCATATTATATAAATAAGAAAACCGCTAAGACAGCCTGTAAGAATAACAGCAACACTCACTTTGTGGACCGTACAAACTTGCACCGAGCTGCGACAGCTGACCCGACGACGATGGTGAAGGAGAGGACAGCATCTGAGGGAAAACATTTCAGGAATGGACAGAGTAAGTTAACCGGAAACCCTCTGCTATGGTGTGAGCTCACAAAACAACAGAAGTGTGCAGACAGACATCGAGACGAAACTCACGTCTTTGTCCGATCGATGTGGAAACATCGACGGCTGGTTGTAGTACATGCTTTCATCAGTAAAGTCGTTATCGACTACCTCGACGAACTCTGGAAATTTCTTTCTAGTACCAAACATGCCTTTCGTCACCTGAAGAGAGAGAGAGAGAGGAACCGCTGTTAAAGATGTGCAAGGGACCAGGTCAAGAAGTGAAACAAGACAACTGTTACTGTAAGGATGCATCTACCCATTAATGACAATGTCAATAACTCTGTAGGTTATTTTCTTGATTAATAAAGTCAGTTTGCTCTATGAAATGTCAGAAAATGTTGGAAAACGTTGATCAGTTTTTCACAAAGCCTCAGATGACGTCCTCATAAGTCTTGTTTTGGCCATAACCCCGAGATTCTCATAGATTAGTGAAGAAATCAGACAATATTCACTTTTAGGAAGCTGCAACCTCAGAATTTAAACTATTTTTTCTTTAAAAACTACTGAGGCCAGCGAGTCAATTGTCAGAATAGTTGCAGATTAGTTAAATAGTTGAATCCATTAATTGTTCTATTTAACGGTGACCTACAGACTACTGTCTATATTTCTTTAAGTCCTCCTTTAAGCTTCATGTTTCTGACAAGTTCATAGAAGTTTCACCAACTTCTGTGTGGTACAATATCTGAAACTGACAGGCCTGTGTTGGTGCTACTGTCCATCTAGCTGTAATATCACTTTACTGGCAATACATAACCCGTTTAATTATTATTATTTTATTTAACAAACACAACATCATCTACTATGGCTGCACCTGTAAACTAAATGGAAAATTCTGAGTGTATGATATATATTAATTCCTTCGTAATTCTCTGTGAAGTATTTGGCATCTTGAGGTTATTAAAATAAAGTTTAGCACAGTGTGTGTCTACTTTGTAATGATGCAAGAACTTCCATAATAAAACCAACAATTAATAGCACCCATGAAATGTAGTAAGTAAATTAAATGACAGCAGTATTAAATGCTCACTTCTGGCCTGTTAAACTTGACTAACGGTGGATTTTAAAGCGCTGGATATTTCTTTGACACTGTTAAGGAAATTAACAGGAGCAATGCTAACAGGCTAGTTAGCCAACAGTAGTGTAAGTAGCTAACGTTAGCAGGCTAGTTGGTTGTTATCACTCTGCGTTAGCTTAGCTAGCTCAAAGGAAGCTTGCAAACGGGCTACCCGAATGAGGAGCTAAACACCAGAACCTTTCAAACTCACAAACGCGGTCATTTAACTACCAAGAAGCAGCCACTACGAGGCAGCGATACGGGCCCTCTCTGCCTCCATATATCCACAGTCAGCTGTCCGTTTTCTCGGCTCAGTTTACGCTCCGCTTGCAGGCAGCAGCAGCAGCAGCAGCAGGCAGAGCAACAGCGACAATCCGCTGGAGCTAAAGGCTAACGAGCCGCTACGTATCGAAACGGGAGAAAGCGACGAGACGAAAAGCTCCGGCTAGCGGGTTAAATTCACACCAAACCGTTTGAACGAGACGAAAAAAAAGAAGTAAAATACCCTCACCGCATCAATTTCCCTTCGCTTCGTTAGATCCAAGATGGCTGTGTGTATTCTCAATCGAAAGAGCTGTAGCCTTTACCCTCTGACCTTACAACCTGCTGACCACTTCCGTACACAAAACTGAACCCGTTAGAAAAGTCTGCTCCATAATCCACCACAGGGGGCTCAACAATAACCAATAAACTGGACTCAAAAAAAAGAAAAAAAACACCAGAGAAAAATATGTAGATTTTTTTTGCAATTTAAATCAGGCCACCAGTGCCAAGCCTGTGTCTCCCTCATGTGAGCATTAGATGTCCTGCATTATGAAAACAACTGGTGCTGCACGAATAAAGTCACAAAATTACAAAGAATAAAAAATCTGTTCCATACTGCACAGGGTAGGATGGTGAGAATAAATGTAATGTAATGAATAAATACCAGGAAAATAATAATAATAATAATAAAAAAAAGCTCTGTAATTCCCTGTCTTGAAGTGGGGCCTTGTTTTAAAATGTAGTTAGACAACGTTCAACATTTAGCCTACGTCTGTTTAATCAAATCGGATGCTAAATGAGCACGCAGAGGCCCAGCAGCTCGTTCTTGGTTAATTTGGATATATCTATTATTTGCAACTGAAATAAATGTAATCGGATTACTGAAATTGGAAACAGCAGCTTCACACAAGTTCCAAAGCATGAACACAGCATGTAATATTTTAATAAATTCTGTCCCTTTTTCAGCGCTCAGTCACAGATCTGAGTTAATGAGGTTGTCAAACGTTGTCCCACTTTTTGTGAAGGACTTCATAAAGTTGGTGGACATGTTGGGGGGGCAGGATCGTGTTGTCAGGCATGTCCACCCAGCGCTGCCTAAAACGTTCTGCTGGATGATAAATGGTGGAGGTGTGGACATTCGGTTGTCAACTGGCCACAGCCCTAACTGACATGTCAGCCTCCAGAATGCCGACAGCCTGTTTTCATCTTTAATCTGTCGTCTGAGGCATCGTGTCATCTGAATAAACCTGCGTTTTAAAGAGTCCTTTCATAATTGCTGGCCCAAGGAGTGCCTGTGTAGCGGTCACGGTATCTGATCATTGTTTTATGAAGCCATACCTCGCTGGGGTGTGGATGAACTCAGCTCTTGAGAATTTGTCATCAGTTAAACAGCTCCATATCTTTCTGTGCACATCTGGCTAAACTGAAGCCTTTCTGGCCATAAGAACAGAAATGAAAACTCTTGTCCAAGTCAGACATTTATATTGGTGTTCAGCGTTCTTGTTTCTGAAGCTTTCAACCACATCTAGCGACCTTCCTCAGCAGATGGAGCTGCTCAGTTGTCACAGAAATAATTTACTAGATTTACGTCGATTCAAACGGTTTAATAATAAACCGTCTCCAACTGAGCAACTCCATCTGCTGAGGAAGGCCATTAGATGTAACTGAAAACTTTAGAAACTTTGACCATGTGGGAAAATAGACTTTTTTCTGTACAGTAGATATTTATACTTGTCATAGAAAGAAAAGTAGGTGTTGGTAAAAACATGACTGATGCCTCCATTAAGCAGGCCTGGTTATTGCTGTCACGCGCTGCTTTTGGTTGCTCGGTCTGAGTCGTTGCCTGTCCGAGGCCCCCCGGCAGTAAGTGGATGTGGAGAAGTGCTAAAAACAGAGTGTCGGTGAGTGAAAGCAGATGGGGGTCAACCTTTGGCCTTCCTGATAATAAAAATGAAATCCCATTGCATTTTATCTGGTTGGAAAATAGCTCTAATGAAGGTATGCGAGATATCGGGGGAGAATCACACCTCAGGCGGGCGGGGATGACATGCATGATGACACGCAGCTTACTTACTGTTCTGGACTCTCCACAGAGGGCCAATAGGAAATTACATCCCCCTTAGAATTATGTGGAAAAACTCTATCATGATCATCTGGCTTTGGGAGATTTTTAGATTACCTCCCCAGCAGATGTCCAAGCAGGCATGTTCAGGGTGGCACTGACAAAACCCAGATCAGCAAAGCCACAGAAAACTCACCAGACTTAAGAACACCTCTGATTCTTTTTAAAGAACGTGTACTTTCATTTCCCTTCCTTCAAGAAACATTTCAAAACACCCTGTGATTTGTTACAACTACAAGCTCTCTGGTGTGTCTGAGACAAACTCTTGAAATGATCCCACACTTGTCGGGCCCAGTGGCACCGACCTAGCGCTGCATCCGGGCCGATTAGGACAGAATGTAAATGACCTTCGCTGCTCTTTCATCACAGAGCACTTCTTCTGCTTATCCATGGCACCCTGCCCCTCCCTCTCTCTCTCTCTCTCTCTCTCTCTCTCTCCTGTCATCTCAGAGAAGAAGGGGGGAAAGGCACAAATGGGGAGGAGAGAGTCAGTGGTTGCTATAGCCATGAAAGTCAGGGCAGAGCTCGGAGCCACTGAGAGATAGTGAGAGGACTGCACTGGGGAATATCTGCCCGGGGAATACAATACGTTTTCAGCTCATTAGGCTGGATAAACAAATGGCTTACTGTAGGAGATGTTGAGATTCGTGGACACCAGCTGGAAGAAACTGGACAGTAGGTGTTTTGAATTCTTCGTTTGTTCATGTCGACACTTATTGTTTTCTTTCTAACACTTGTGAGGATTATTCTCAGTCAACAGCATGGCCTTTGTCATAAAAAGGGATGTAATTCAGCATCATAATCATGTGATTGCTGTACTTTTTTCCACATTGTCAGGATGTCTTACATTGCTTGTTTTTATATGTCATGCAGATCAATAACTCCAGAGGGGTGGTGGTGGTGGTGGTGGTGGTGGAGGAGCAGTAATGGAACATCATGAAATTTGCTTGAAGCCTGCTTGAGTGCAACTATTGTCTGGCACTAAATTGATGCGGAGAACCAGTGGTGAACTAAAGACACTGAGGAAGATGGGTAATGCCATGCGCGGTGTCATCGCCTTCATTCCCTCCGAGCGCTGTCAACGCTTCTTAGTGGGGGACCTGAAGGAGATGCCACTGGACCGGACGCTGGACCTGAGCAGTCGGCAGTTGCGTCGGCTGCCCGTCGCCGCCTGTGTCTTCGATGAGCTGGTGAAGCTTTACCTGAGCGACAACAACCTCAGCAGCTTGCCGGCTGAACTGCAAGGCCTGAAGAAGCTGCAGCTCCTGGCCCTCGACTTTAACTGCTTTGAGGAGCTCCCCGCAGCTGTTTGCAGATTGCCTCAGCTCACCATCCTCTACCTGGGTAACAACAGGCTCTATCGCCTCCCCAGAGAACTGAGACAGCTCAAGGAACTTAGTACTCTGTGGCTGGAGACTAATTGCTTTACTGTTTTCCCCAAGGTGGTTTGTGAGCTCTCAAATCTAAAGACCCTACACCTTGGCTATAACCAGATACGGAGTATACCCCAAGAATTTGGGCAGTTGGAAGAGCTACGAAGTGTCTGGCTTGCTGGGAACCAGCTGACGGAGTTCCCACCAGTGTTGCTAGATATGCACTTTCTGGCTGTAATTGATGTGGATCGCAACAAAATACGCTACTTCCCAGGACTTACTCACTTGCAAGGGTTGAAACTCGTCATCTATGACCACAACCCCTGCGTCAACGCCCCGGTGGTGGGGGAGGGAGTCAGAAGAGTCGGCCGCTGGGCAGACAGCATGGATGATGAGCTGGAAGACGACGGATCGAAGGCAGCGAGTGAGACTACAGCTGAGGTCGTGGAAGTTCATCCTGAAGAGCAACAAAACATGTGAGGTCAAGGAACAAAGTGACCCGTGGCTGTGGTGAGGCTTGACTGGCAGGCCTCCCAATGGAGTGGTGTCCTGGAGCACTTAGAGCAGAGCGGCGTGATGTACATCAGACCAATGGCATTTGGGCCATATATGGAAAAGCCAAGAACCACAAAGTAATGAGTACTCCTAAAATGCAGCCTGCCTTAAAGAGGAAATTAGAGTCCTGAAGTGAAAATCTGTCCTGTGTTTGGTTGCTGACACGATAAAGTCAGTCCTACTTTAATTTGTAAAACTTTGTATCCCTTCAAATGATTGGTTGCAAAAAGACCAACAGTATAAGTTGGGAACATCAGATTTGAACTATTTCAGCAGTGATGCAAGATATATATCTGGGCAATTTTACAATTTCTGTGCATTGGCAAGTTTGTACTTCTTCTTGATAAATAAAATTGTGTATTTGCAGGACAGGAATACGCAACGTATTCATACTTTTCTAATAAATTGACAGTGCAGTTGTTGCTGTCCCATCATCTAAGTGTGAGTTCTTACTTTATCGTGCAGAGAATCAGAAAAAGAGAAGGGCTCTTGCTCCAGGAGAGTCTGAGATAATATCAGTACCTGCTGGGGCTAAAAACAGTTGGGTTTTTAATACAATTGATGGATGGTTTAAGTCAATTAGTGCACTCCTTATCCGACCGATGCATAATTCATCTGATAGATTGGGGCTGTGGCTTTAAATAAAGACTGCTAATGGGCCCCTAATATCATCACCACGAGGTTCTGGTTTGAAAGAGATCATAAATGCAGCTTTGCAATTCCCCGGTGCACGAGGAGAACGCTCTGCAAACAAGGTTAAATGCAATTTCACAACAAATGATTTGGAGCGTTTTGAATCCTTTTTAACAAGATGGAAGAAAACAAATGAAAAAGGGGCTTCACACCAGCTCTACTTCTGTAAATGTGATTATTTCAAACACCAAACTTCTGTATTTCCAGCTTTCATTGAGTTTCCTGTAAAATGCAGGAACCCTTTCAGTAATTCCAGATGTTCAGCCAACATATAAACATTTTTCAGTTTTATTATTCAAATATATTGTAATTCAGAGATCACCTCCGACAACTTCTGTTATGTTGCCTCGTAATGCATCTAAATCCATAAAGCTACAGTGTACTTGGCGTCACAACAAAGCGAGGCCTCTTCTGAAGATGTAGTCTTTGGCGTACAGTTTGATCTGTGTTGAACGACAAGACAGACACGCCTACACTGTGCACACTAATCATCCCAACATATGAGCAAATTTCATGCTTAACAGAAGCTCAATGTCATTATGTGGCTGTCACAATCTTCATACATCAGTTAATATCATAAATTTGGTTTCGGTTTGCAAATTGTATCACTCACTCCCTGCATACAAAAATGGGTTCATTTCTTCTTTTCATTCTGCATCATGTGTTTCTGACGTCAAAACACTTCAAGGAATATCTTTAATGTGTCTGACGATAAGTTTTTACATAACAGTTCTCTTATTTGGGCGTCTAAATGTCACATGGTACGCACACACTCGGTGATTGTTGGACTTTTCTGTGAACTTTAAAGCCACGAGATCATCTGATTTCTTTATGGTGGCGTCATTATGTGGCAGGAGGAAAGCAAAGGAAGAGAAGCACACAGCTCTGCGTTTATTTATTTTGTTCGATGCAAACATAATACTTCCATACATCTTCAGAAGATGACAGATTATCAGCGCATCATATTAAACAATATCTTTGGTACCATCCCCTCCCTGCATAAACCACTTGCAGCGTTCTTTACACAAACTTTCTTGAACCCAAAGCTCCCCTGAAGTGGAGGATAAACACGTGGAGGCGTGAACAAACCTGCATCACCTTCGATTCAACTGCTTCACAAAGGGGCATTTACTTCAAAAACAGTAACTTTACTCATCCTTCCTACACTGTATGCTCATTAATGTTTAATACAGACACGTTTCACACTTGTTAATAAACACATATTACTTAAAAGACCCATCTAAAATGCGTTGGTGCTTCGTTGTAACAAGAAGAAAATAAATACCACTTTTACAACCTCAAAGTGCAGAAGTGCAAACTGCACAGTAAGAGCCTCGTGGAATGAACTGTGGAAAATCGCTGAAGCGTGAACGAAATGTGCCACAGCGGTAAGTCACACGTTGCACTAAGACAGAACATCTATGTAGCATGAAAAACAAGAAATGCAATAAACCGCTTTAATCTGTCTGCCTGGAATGAATGCACTTTGACATTTTTAAAAAACAAAGACTCTTTTGGGACAAATGTTCCTCATCTAATTGCTCTGAAAGAACCTCTGAGAAAAAGGCATCACGAGAAGCTACAACTTAATTTCAACTGCAGGGCATCCAGATTCAAAAAGGGGGTTTTAATTTATTGGCGTTCCAATCCAGAGAGTCACTGTTTGTGTTTGTTTTTACGGGAATGTCGCCTCGTTTAATGAGTGTTGGCGGCGATGTGAGGAAGTAGCACCTCACGGAAATCACTACAGCAAAACACAAGCAGGTTCAACTAACTTAAGAGGGCGTGTTAAATTATTGCAAACACCTCGTGAGAGACAATACTGTTGGACAAGCCAGAACTGGAATGCAGCACCTCCAAAACTCAAATGGCACAAACATGACAGCTGTAACAGCGCTGCGTTCAGAAGAAAGACATGAGCAGAGGTCAAAGTCACAACGAGGTAAACTGTTATCAAGACAATAAGCTACAGAGCGCCAACTAAACAACACAGGTAACATATTCTCATGCATGTGAGTTTAGTCCGACTGAAACAATAGGTTTGCTTTAATCTATCAACATCTGCCAAATCACATTCAAGCTGCTGAAGGGGGGACGAGACGTTAGGAGGCAGATGAGCATACAGGACTGTGCGGCATCTTTCACAGGCTCATCCAGGGTCCGGGTCTCTGCCGAAGTGCCGTCTCGCCCGGTTGAGGTGGCAGGGATCCGTTCAACGCCTCTGAACTGTTGTTCACCTCGGGCCCCTCGGAGTCATGGGACTCGTCGTTTTTACTATCTGCCACATCAGGCTCGGGGGCATCAGCGATGACAGAGGGGCTCTTTGATGGCTGCTCCGCCGCAGTGTCGTTTCCACTGAAATCAGATGCCTCACTCACAGCTCCGATCACTTTAGGAGCGTTAAGTTCCTTCTGCGAGTTTTCCTTCTCCATGCGCTTTCGGGCCTCCTCCTTCCTCTGCTGGATGCGGGTGTTGTCTCCCATCATAACTCTGACTCTCACTTGGTCTGGAGGCCACAGCCCGCCCCACACAAACTGCAGGTAGCTGAACAGCACGATGACACTGAGGAAGGCAAAGTTGGTGGCCACGCCGATCACTGCAGATGTCAGGGGGAAGTTGTACAGAACATAACGTATACCAGTGAAGTAAGCGTGGATACGGAGCTGGGATGAGTAGATCTGCACCCGTTTGGACTGGATCTCAATGACTGCACCCACAGTAGGCTGATAAGCATTCGTCTTGTAGTCTGAGAAGAGCTCCACTTCTATGAGCTGCTTCTGCTCCGTCATCCCAGTCAGAAGGACAGGAGAGAACAGGAGTGTGTTCAGGGTCTGCAGAAGGTTGGAGCGGTAGTGCAGCATCGTGGACCGGCCCGCTGATGACACAGTCTTCCCCCCCTTAGTGTAACAAGACATCTTGACCATGAACATACCCAGATGCTCGTTCACTGGAGACTCTGGCATCTCCAACTCCAGGGACACTCTGTAGGGCTGACCATTAGCCATCACCTGATCTCTCTCGTTCTTCATGAAGGAGATGTTGGCTGTGGGGAAGGAGCAGAGCGCTGACTCTGAGGCGTCACAATCAGAGGTGTAGTAGAAGTGCACAGGGGTGGAGAAGCTCACAGTGGGCATGTAGGAGTAGTAGAAGCTCCCGTAGAGAAAGATGGACACCCAGAGCAGCAGCACTAGGACGCAGAGAAGGACGGCAGCCTGAAATAAAGTCCGCCGGGCTTTGAGGAGAGTCACAGCCGCCACATCGTGCAGCCAGTGCAGGACTGGTGCCATCGCTCCCCCCATCGTATCTGGTCCGGACCTTCTTCTGCTCCTGGCTTGTCCAGTCGTGGACTGCTGCCTCTGAGGCGGCTCCGTCTGTTCATACATCAGTGGGTGGCTCCTCTCCAAAACTGTATAATCGTTTATCTTCGCTTCCCATATTAAGTCTGTTCAACCAGCTTCACACTCGGAGTCCGAGTGTTAGCTAATTAAGCTAGCTTGGTCGGCTAGCTAGGTAGAAGCTACTCGATAAAACATTAAAATATCCCGAAGTTGTACAGGTTGTACAATGTGTTCTCTCCGGACTTGGTCGGAAGCCGGTTAAGCTCGTTAGCAACTCAGCTAACAGTCAAATATAGCTGCAGACAAAACATGACCCCGCAACCCGGAAGATCAAACCCTCCTTTGTGCCAGCTCGGAGCAGCAGCGCTTCCTGAACGACGCCAGACAGCAGAGCAGGCCAAACAGACGGACTCGCAGACAGACAGAGAGGCAGAGATGGGGAAGAAAAGTCGCATCACGGGAGGAACGGTCGGTCGGAGGACGATCCTACAGCTGTCTCCTCCCGGTAGTCGCGGCGGGAATGCAGGAGAGAGAGAAGAAGCGGCTTCGGGATCTGATGGTATTTTTAAAACACGTTACCTCTGTAGCATGTTAGCTTCGAGCTAGCTTAATGCTAAATGCTCGAGGTGTGAAGAATGGGCCCAACTGGTTTAAAAACAAACAAACAAAGCGGCATTTATCTAGCTGTCGAGTTAATTAACATCTACTGCAAATATATTCTGTCGCCAAGAAATATTCAAGAGACATCAACAGTTTACGAAATCTCTATTGGTGCTTTTAAGGTCTCGACCACAGGCTAGCGCGCTAAGCTAGCGGTTAGCAAATTAACAGTTTTGGTGAGCATTCATCGGTTGGCCTGCCAAAACCGGCTTAGAAGGTGCCAGCCTAAATGTAATTAACCTACAAAACACTTTTACTGGCTTTATCCATGAGCAGAAGCGTTGATAGGATTTGGGAACATTTGGGGGGTTAGCCAAGTCCAGAAAACTTAAGATTTTAACCCGAGAATTGCCCAATTTTGCGGTTATTTCAGGGTAAAATGAAAGCAACCGTGAGACACTGATGTAGGCAAAGTAAGGCCGGTTCACTTAGTTTCTGTGCTCATCCCGTGTTTCACGTTGTTTACAGTGAGTGAAGGCAGCATAGTTTGGTATTAGTAGTACCTTGGTATTATTTACAACGATTTATTGCTGCAGTTATATGTGAAAGTTGTTTCTCAAAAGTACATAAATGATCTGCCCTGTGACAAAAAAACGTTTCAGAACCACAGAATTATTCCAGGGTTTCCAGTTTTACCTTCCAACTGGAGTGACATTTGCACCTCCTAAAGATTATTATAGTTATTTAGATTTTTACTGTTGTTTAGTAGTAGTTTAGTTGATCAACAAAGGGGGCAAACAAAGCAAAAAGGCAACACAGAAGATTAGGGTAGGGTATACTATGAAGGTAAAATAAGGTAAAAATATAATATAGAAGAAATTCCACAAAATGTACAAAAATATATGAGATGTACAGATACAGAAATGTGCAAATGATAACGTGCTATTATATGATATAATAATACACTGCTTGGATTGAAGCATTAAAGAGTCTTATTGCTGTCGGGAGGAAGGAGCTCCTGTAACGTTCCTCGGAGCAGCGGGGTCGTATCAGTCTGTTGCTGAAGCTGCTCCTCAGATTGTCCACAGTTTGATGGAGGGGGTGTGAGGTGTTGTCCATGATGACCAGGAGGTTGGTCAGCATCCTCTGCTCCACCACCTCCTCCAGGGTGACCAACTGACAGCCAGCAGCAGACTGGGCTGTCCTGATGAGTTTGTTCAGTCTGTTGGCGTCCTTCGCCTTGATCCCTGCGCCCCAGCACACCGTGAATAGTCGAGCAGCAGAGATGCAGATGCTCTTCCCATAAGCCACCACTGTAAATAAATAACTCATATTAATAATACTAAAGCTGACTGTTGCAAATGGATCCTGCTGCTGTTTAATCTCATGAACTCAGGGGAAAGATTCCTACAAACAGCTGGAAGCAACAAATGAAACTGAAAGTCTTCTTAATGTGTTGTCAAACCTTGGATTAGCCTCAATGAATTATTGGTGACTTTCAATTAATCTGACTTTTTACAAACTCTCTCTTAATTGCTTTTAGATTTTATTTTTACGCTGTTGGTGATCGATTGCAGATCAAAGTAAATGAGGCAAAGCTCATTGTACATTAAAGATGTTTTATGTGTGAACCTTTGACTGCTAAATGTTTTTTTTTGTGATGTTTATGGACCAGTGTTACTGCTGAAAGGTGGAGAAAGCCGGATGTTCAGATTGTGTCCAGATAAAAACCTGTTGCACATTACCTTTTTTGTGACGCTTCCTCTTTCGATCAATGATTGTTTAATATTTTCAAGATCTTTAATGCATGATTGGAATAAGAGATGAGTAGGTGTGGGGCTATTCATACAACATGTGGGGCTGTAGCCTTGGATGCCCAGGCCTAACAATACTATTGTCAGAGAGTGTGAGGCTGCTTCATAACATTATTGATAAGCTAGTAGGTGACTGTGTGTGTTTAGTGTTCCCGGCTAGTTTGCTTGTGAAATTGTTGGAGCTTGACTTTAAACTCTTTGTTGATGTTTTTGCAGATGAACAAGATGGAGACGGACACAGATTTGTGAGACGCACAAACATGAAGGCACCAGCAGTAAAGGCTACAGGTGTGTGTGTGTGTGTGTGTGGGTTCTTTCAGTTTCTGTAGAGACAAAAAAAGAAAAGGTTAATTTAATTTTATAGATCAACGTTATTTTATCTTCTTCATGTGCAGAGGGCCTGTCCTTGCTTGGAGCCTATGAGGACAGTGATGAAGAGGATGCGGGAGATCGAGCAACTGCAAATTCCCAACACAACCAGTCAGCTGATATCGACAGCACATTGGCCAATTTCATGGCGGTGAGTATCATAATTAAATCAATGTTTGTGACAAGCTAATGCAGTTTTTTTTTAGATGTAAAGTTAATAATTATATGTCTGATAATCATTCACAACATTTATCTACCTGTAGTGTCTTAATCCATTCATAAATTTGCAGTTGAGTGTAATTAGACCTGTGAGTCTAGTATCTCACTGATAATTATGGATGGCATGCAAGTTCAAAGGAGACTTCAGGCTTTGGTTTTTCTGATTTATGATCAACTTTTGAAGGCCTGGTTTTTCATTCATACATCGTCATTTATGTGAAGTCGAGAGCTTAAAAGGCTGTGGTTTATTTTTGTGACTTTAAAACAAATTTTGGACAAAAAGAATAATAAGTTCTTGTTGTCTCTTTTCCCATCCAAGGAAATCGATGCCATCACAACTCAGCCAAGTGCAGATGATGCAACATCTCACCCCTCCGTTCCGAATGCCACCCCACCCAGACCAGATGCTAGTGCTCAGCAGCCGGCTGCCAGTGAAGGACAGAACCAACAGAGCACAGAGTTTGAGTACAATACTCAGTACTCATTAGCTGGAGGTAACTATGGATTTTTTATGTATTGAAGGTCGAGTGTACACGTCCTCCTTTAACAACAGCAAACAACGGCAGCAGATGTTTTAGTACTAGCTGTCGGATTATATGAAGTGACTCGCCACTAATGAGTTGCTTTCCAAAGAAACAGCTTTGGTATTGAACTGAGAAGAGGCAAAGAAATATATTGTGTGTAATATAAAACTAAAATATGTTGCAGGGTTCCAGACTAACGTTTTCACCAGTGCGACCAATTTTCTCATTTGGTCGTACCTCCCTTGTCGCAGGCAAAACACGTGACTTGTTGAACATTTTCTTATCGATAGACACTAAAGTTTGCCCTAAACGGCCCACATTGCAGGCTGTGGTAGCTGCTCTGTAATGTGCTCAGACACGTGTGCGGCCAAAAATGCCTTTAAAAAGATTCAGCGAGGGCGTTCTAACGTCAGATCTGCCCAAAATGACACTGTGTTGGGTTTTTTTTCTTGCATGTGCCCTTTCCTATGAGCGGTAAAGACAGCGAATGCAGGTGCGCTCCACTTTTCATGAGATTACCACAGTTTTAAGCGTAAATGCAGAAGTACACTGAAGTTACTACTTTCCACCACTTTGGTCAACACAGCAGCTTCCTGTGTCAGTTCCAGCGACACTAATCCAGCTTCATGATCATCATGCACTTGCACCAATGCTAGGTCGCAAATGGGACTATTTGGTCACAGTCTGGAGCCCTGATGTTGTGATTTATTACAGAAATCTCATGCGTGTGCTTGTATTCCAGTTGGTGTAGAGATGGGAGACTGGCAGGAAGTATGGGATGAGAACTCTGGCTGCTATTACTACTGGAACACAACAACCAATGAGGTGTCCTGGGAGCTGCCACACTACTTAGCTGATCAGGTGCAAAGCCTGGGACACTATTCCAACAGGTAGGAGAAACTGACTGACAGGCTCTGAGTATTATGCCAAGGTTGTAAATAGCAGGATTGTCTCTGGAATCCTAATAAAATCACTGTACCAGCTTGATCTGAAGTTCACAATTCAGTTTCTTTATTTTGTTTCTGCTATAGAAATTCAGCTGTGAATGCTGTGTTTTGTATTTTCTTTGTAGCTCTAGTGTCAATGGCAATGGCACAGCCCATGCAGGTTATTACACAGAGGGAACGGCTGCCACCCCTGCTGTTGCACCGACTGTTGCCCCTACCGCTGCTGCTGCTGCCCCCGCTGCTCCTGCAGCAGCAGTCGCCGCCCCCGCATCAGCAAAAGAGACCAAAGCGAAGGTAAGTTTCATTTAATTCTGGCACAAATGTGAGTCAGCTTGTTTACCTGTTGTTGAGGAGTTGCTACTGAGACTTTAAATATGTCCTCCTCTTGTTTTTGTCTAAAAGGAGGTTATCGAGAGCGTCGTCGGCCTCACCAGTGAAGAGGAGGAGCGTCGAGGAGTGGCTGCGTCTCTCCTTGGCCCTCTGATCCCCTCTGAAGTGAAAGAAGCAGAAGAAAAATGGAGAAAAAGACTGCTTAAAGGTGTTGATGAGACTGAGAACAGTTTGGATTCTGACGGAGAGGGTGTTCGGCCTGTTGGATCCCCTTCTACACCTCTGCGGGATTCAGACTCGGCCCCCACCGTGCAGAAAGATCAGAGCACCAAGAAGCAATCTGGAGACAACTCAGAAGCTGATGAGGAGACAGAGGAGGACACAATGGAGCTGGAGTTGGCTCTAGAGAGGAAAAAGGTAGGGATTTACTGCTATTCAGCGTGCAAGTTGGCATGAGCTACTTTCGCAATCAGTGACACATTTTTATGTCTCAGTGCTCTAGCTTTAACCTGACTAACATCTGACTCTTAGGCTGAGCTCCGCGCACTGGAGGAGGGCGATGTGAGCGCTGGGGGCTCCAGTCCTTGTTCTGAGACCAGCCAAGATGCTTCACGTGGTGTCCTGCTGAAGAAGAACCGATGGAAAACCGCCTTCCCCTGCGTTCCCAGCCCCGACTCCAACAGCAGAGGCTCCGACCTACCTGAAAACACAGAAACACGTGAGTTCAAATGTTTACACTCATTCAAGTGGAGGCTCACCTGCTTGAGAGAAGAGGGTAAAGCTGCATTAAAAATCCCATTTGTTCAATTCCTGCATACTTAAATTCTTCTCTTGTGACTTGTAGCACTTCCTAAAGTCTCAGAAAGTGTTGAGGACGGAGAGAACAAGGAAACGGACAGTTCTGAGGACAAAACGGTTTCACAACCTCCTGCCAAAGAGGAGGGGGAGACGCCCGAGCTCAAAGTGGAAACACCTGAGCTCAAGGTAACAACGATGTCACTATAACTAATCATTTTAACTATGACAGTCTCTTTAGGACATGTTTTAATTCTGAAAAAAATGTAGTTTCAGATTGGAGAACTGGCCAACACCCTAACCAGCAAGATGGAGTTCCTGGGGATAAACAAAAAGGCGATCTCAAACTTTCAGTTGCTTCTGCTACAAACTGAGGTAAGAAGACAACAGTTCCCAGCAATATTATCCTAGATTCCAGTTACAGTTATCCCAGTGCGACTTCTAAAATATTTAACACTTAATTCTGTTTCATTTAATTTTGCACTGGCGTGTGGTAGTACTTAATATTTAAAATCCTCATAATGATCCATCACAAAGGTGTCATTCTAGAAATTCACTGTAATTACTCGTCCATGTTACTCATCTATTCTGTGGGTCTTCTGTCTTTGTCTCTTTACTTCCACTTTCTTGTCTTTTGTCTCTGTCTTCTCTCTGTCTCTCCCCCCTTTTCTCTTTTCGCTCTTTGTTTTTTTTTTTTTCTTTCCAGACACGGATTGCTGACTGGAGGGAGGGTGCTCTGAATGGAGTCTATCTTCGCCGCAGGCTGCAGGAAGCTGCCGAACACATAAAATATTACGAACTTAACGCCACCCCTAAAGGCTGGTCCTGCCACTGGGACAGGTACGCGCTCCTTACCTTTCACATCTCTAAACTCCCTCGCCCCCAAAAAATCTTACCGTGTGACTACACCCCCCTCAGTGCCGAGGTTGCAGACTTTGTTACATAACTTGGGGTGAAGCTTAACCAGTCCGAGTGGATCAGAATACTTTCCAGAAACAGACTCTTCAGGGTTCTGTGATGCAGTCCTTGCACGTACTGACAAGGGAGCATCCACTCTGGGCCAGCCTGCTTCCTGTTAAATATACCTGCCACAGAGAGGACTCCCTGTCCCTGTAACAGACTCTTACGCCCTTTGTTGTGAGGGCATTTGTAGACTCGTTATGGGTCCAGTCAGTGGAAAATTTGGGAGGGGGTGTATGGTAGGAAGGTTGGTTGCGCGGGAGAGCTTTGCACTTTACAGGACTGCAACCCCCCAGAATGCAATGCAGACAGAGTGATGCCCTGGAAGCGACGAGTGTCACGCATCAAATAAAAGGTGAAGATGGAGCAATGACGGGAATCCAGCAGGTCAGACCAACTCTATTTCATATGTCTTCCTGTTTTTTAATTTCTTCTTTCTGATGTAAAACGAGTTGACTGTGTGCTTGTTATTTTCTGACCTATGGTTGTTAATGATGATGATGATGATGTTGATGGTGCTTCCTCCCTGGCGTCTTCCTGTGTCTGGGAGGGAATGGTTGTCTAGAACAGAACAAATGTGACAACCATGGTGTGAGCTGCTGAATGCTACTTTCAGGACCTAGAGATGATTTGTTTTGCTTTTGTTATTCTTGAGAGCAAGGTGGGTTCCCTATCCACATCCATAACCACACTCCAATTGGGCCCTTGTTCAGGACGGCTAAAATCGCTGTCCTCACCAACATTCCTGCCCCCCTAACGTGGCCACTATGTCCACTCCCTTGCCCCACAGTCCCAGGGTATCATGCCACTCAGCAAGTTTAAAGGCCAGTGGTTGAGACTCTTGCCTTCTATCTCTGTTGTCCCACTCTTTAGAGAACACAGGCGGTATTTCTATGTGAAGGACCGGACCGGTGCCTCCCAGTGGGATTTCCCAACAGAGGATGACAAGGAGGAGGACCTGAAAGGCAGCCAAGGTACCCAGACACAGACTTCAAGCCAAGGGGATCCCAAACCACCACCTACATCTGCTGGTGGGTTCACAGGTCAGTCTTTACTAGTGCTGCTGCACCTTAGATATTAAACTGGATCTAAAAAAGTGTGTCATTGTTCCTTGAAGTGTGGTTATGCTTTATTAAGTCAATACTAATGTGACGAAATTGCTTCTTAACTAAAACCCTGTTTTTTTTTTGTTTTTAACAGGATCTTCTACTTATGTTGCGCCACCACCACCACCTCAACCCAGCGCATCATCCTTGTGGTCCCCATCGCAACCTCCGCTTCCTGACAGCCCTCCTCCACCTTCCAGCTGCCCCCCACCTCCACCTCTCCCCCCAGACTCACCTCCTCCTCCTCCTCCACCTCCTGACAGCGACGGAGAGATCATGGAGGTGGAAATGGAGATGGACGATGATAACGACGAGGAACCTCCAGCTCCTGGAACTGAGGACGACGGCAGCGGGAGGCCTCCTTTGCCTCCTGGCATCGCCAGCACAAAGGTGTGGGAGTGATTCAGTTGTTCTAAACTTTTAACACAGTACCTGACAATGCTGTAAACGCAGAACGAAGGAGTAGAGCAGCTTTAACGTTGGTTGCATTTCTTGTCATTCACACAGATTGTTGAGTTGTCGGGCCCATTGGGGAAGGGTCAAAAACGGAAAGCTGGTCAGCTGAATAAAGCCATTACTATTGGCAGCAGTCCCATTCTCTACACCCAGGCACCGGCCAGTGCAGGTAAGAAAACTTCACTACACAACCTGTGCTGTACATGTTATTAGGGTTAATGTCATTGCTGGATCATGGTATCTTTTTAACCTAAACTGTGAATAAGTGACAAGAATGATGCAGTGATTTGTGTGTATCTAACAATATGGCATCACATTTTCATACATAAACGCTGCAGATATTTATCTACATTCTGATGATTTCCCTAGTTAACAATAAGGTTTCTTTTTCCCTACAGCCCCTCTGATGTCAGCAGCTGCCTACTGGGGTGTGCCGGCTGTCGCTGCCCCTTTGGTCCCCTGCGAACCTCCCGCCCCACCTGTCCCGGCCCTGCCTCCTCAACCACCGCTGCCACCATCCCAGCCACCCTTTGAACCTCCTTCAGCCAAAGCTTTGCCCATAGACAAGACCAAGAAAGCAAAAAAAGACAAGGTTAGTATTGGAGTCAGTGATATACATGCAGTTTCAAAGGAGTATTGGACGTATTTTTTAATTGTCAAATGTTCCTTTTTAAACACTCTATAGTCAAAGAAGAGTAAGACCAAAATGCCTTCCCTGGTGAAGAAGTGGCAGAGCATCCAGAAGGAGCTGGATGAGGAGGAAAAGAGCAGCTCCAGTGACGAAGACCGAGAGCAGATCAACAAGAAGTGTATCGAGGAGTGGAAGCAGCAGCAGCTCGTGACGTATGTTTCTGTAGTTTCCAGTCAAGTTTGTTTGAAATGAGCTGTGCTGTGTTTTTTCCCCCCCACAGTTTCTGCTGATATTTTATCAGGTGTTCTGTTTTTATTTCTGCAGAGGAAAAGCTTCAAAGAATGCCAACTTCGAGGCGCTTCCCGAAGACTGGCGGGAACGGCTGAAGAAACGGAAGATGATGAACAGCACGTAACATCCAGCCTGGGTCACACGCCGCCCAGACAGTGTTTTTAAACCCACTCCAAGCATTACCATAAGGTTATCCTCCCCAGCTTAACTTCTCTTTTATGATCATTGGACTTACTGTGTTCACGACGGAGACATTTAAAAGCCCTTACATGGCAGGCCATTCACACAGAGGGGTTTGAATGTCCTTTTTCTGGTTTTTGTAGCCACGACTGTAAATGTGCCAAATGTCTTGAGTTGATCGTTTTATCAATATTTGGCCACCGTTTTTTGTATGGACCCCATGTAGATGACCACCACAGTTTGTTTGGCAGGACTGTTTATTTTATTGAGCCTTTTTACAACTCTGTACATAAACTGTATAACGGGATAAGCCATGTTTGTGGAAGGGGAAGGAGTGTCATTGAACTTGTATATTTTGTAAAAACTTATTAAAACCTTTTTCCAAAGCTATGTGTTTTGTTTTTTATGCGGTGTGCTGTTGTGCTTCACCCCGATGACTCCCATGTTTATTTTTCATTTAGCCCTGACGATTGCTACGACCGGGATTATCTGCAAAACTGCCTTACAGCCATTAAAAACTCTCTGGCTTCTAATTTCCTACAAAGGAACACAGATAATACTAAAGTGCTTGTTATTGGTCCCAACCATATTTCTAGCAGCAGCACTCCCCTCCTTTGACCACTAACGACAATCATGAAGCACTCAGCTGCAAGCCTGAGACTCGTATTTGATCACAGCCTCAATTTAAATCAAGACTCAAGATAGAAATAATCACAAAATTAAACTAATGCTCTGCAAAAATATTATTCACGCCCACATTTTCCTCCATGACGACTCACTGTTCACCTGCCCTGACAAATGCAGCATTGCCAGTTTATGATTGATTCAAAAT